GGACATATGCTGCAGTCTTTCGTTATGCATTGCTTGTCGTAGAGCCTGTTCCGAACTAATAGCTGCTTGATGGACTGGACAGTTTGGACTATCCATTTTGAGTCTACTGACTAATCTTTCATCAATACGTGCACATCTAGCGACACTCAACCATATGTGGTTGAGGCGACTACACTGTGATGAAAAGTCCTTCTCAATTCACTACTCAATTGAATACCGTTGAGAGTTTATAGTGAAGCCAAAGTCAAACTTACAGAGATCGCAGCAAGATGGATGAGTTTGAGTGCCATGACCTGATCATTGGATTGATCCTAATTGCTCAATGCTCATAGTGAATACTAGTATTGATGAAGCCAGAGTCGATGAATAGAAGTTAGACAGCTGAATGAAAATTGACTTATCACTTGCTATCATAAAGAATCACTTAAGCCATGTGAAAGAGAATCGGTAGGAATTGACAGGCAAGAGCCACTTCAGCTGGTTAAGCATGGCACAAGCACAAAGTAAATGTAAGTAGAGGAATAAAAAGTACGTTAAGAGTCTTCTAGCTTTAATCAATCCCATTTTCGAGATACGCCTCGCATTCAAGCCCCATTCAGAAGCACTGCAGCGTTTTGAATACCTACCTATGTTGCCTATACAATAACTTGGTGCCCAGTTGATGAAGATGTCGGTGATTTTGTCCTTCGAGAGGTCTATCCGACCCCTCCGGTGAAGGGGAAAAAGAAGAAATTTATTCGAAATATACTAGATTGCATAATTTCAATAAATCGTGCTTCACATGCTGAAAAATGCAGCTCGCACCACCAGATTCCGAAATTCTTTAAAAAAAGGTTTGCAACTTTAATTAGTGCAGAGCAGATTCTATCCGAAAAGACCCAATGCGCCATTTTCATACGTTTGACAGAGGAAGGTTCATGACTGCTACTCCGAAAGCAGTTCGCTAAGGTTAGGCAGCCACCCTGCTAAAGCTTCAGAAACCCCAACAACCCAGGCCTTGGGACTGAGTGAAGGGGTAGAATCTTGAAGCAAAACTCATTTCCATGCAGCATGGAATATCGCTTTGCCGTCACAAAGCGAAACTAGCAATGAATGAATGAGGCTATCTTCAACTGATTCCGAGGCTCGTAATATTTAATATAGTGATGAGTGTTTCGGCCGATTTACTGTGTGGAATCAGTGCACAAACAACTTCAGCATTTCAAGACTGCTGACCGGTCCTAAATTGGAGATTGGCTTTTAACGAAGCTAAATGAGGTGTCTCATCGCATTAGCCAACTAGCAAAATAGAATAGACATCATATAAGGGGACCGAAGCTTCCATTTGTATGGTATTCGCCTTTGCCGAAGAACAGTAATCGTCTAGGATTGCTGGGACGAGGTCGGTTGATGACTTGCGGATGGCCGGTAGATGTACAAGGCAGTGCATTCATCCCACAGACGAGTCGGGTACCAACTAATCGACCGTAGAGGAAGGAAGGCCTGGTTGCCCTGGGGATAACGATCTGAGATTCAAACAAGTGACTATGCTTATGTGGTAGTGCGCCACTTGCCACTAGACCACTTTGGCCCTTAACTCTACCCTTACCCAAATGAAACGAGTCTAAAACTCCCAATAACCTCTTTATGGAGGTCAACTAACAACCTTCGCAACTTTGACAAAAAAAGGCCCCATCACCACCGTGCTGAAAACAACACCATTCATCTCCGCCAAAGGGGGTGAATAGGATGGCGACAAGTGGCGCCATAACTACAAGCAAAATCCGAAGTGAGGTCGAAATCAGATCCCATTTAGATCGAACAGAACTTGGATCTTTCTGGGTTCATTTAATTGGTTTATGAATCATTGTAAAAGGTAGGAAGTTCCGATTTTCTCATCAAAACACAAGGCTGACCATGTAAAGAACATGAGCCCTTCCAAACTGAAAGGTTTGGTGCGACTCAAACGAACTTGATAAGCGCAAAAAACCTTTCAGCTTTCTGCTCACACCTATCTACGCCTGTTACTTACAGATCGAACGGGACCATGAAAGAAATCACGAAATAAATCAGGGTCAAAGCTTGCAAAGTTGGATCCTCAGTGAAAGAAGATAAAGAACGAAGGTGAAAGTCTTTGGGCTTCTATGAAACTCGTCAGTGCTCATCCTCTCAAAACAGGTCCGGTACCATTTAACAAGACCCGAAGAGATGAAAGATTTGGATGAGCTAGGCGGATTCTAACCCCTGACCATGTGTGTGTGAAATGCGCCATTTGCCGCTACAGCACCTTTGCCGCTTAACCCCTATAGGAAGTGAGATTAAGCAAGAATAGGGTCGGCAACTGTTCATGGTCCACTGTAATCAATTTCTTCTATTCACAACGCAAAATGTGATATATAATAATATTAATTTTGCTTTTAATAATCATAATAATAGTAAGTGAGTGAAAATGAAGTGCAGGTAATAAATAAATAAATTAATAAATAAATAAATAAACAATAGCAATAATAATAGCAGTTGTGATAATGATAATAATAGATGCATCCGAGTAAGAACTAAGCCTGTATTGGCCTACGGGTACCAGCAGGAGTTCAAGTTCCCCACATCAATCAGTTGATCAGAAGAACGGAAAATCCGCCTAGCCTGTGATCGGATTTCTGATGGGCCCTGTAGTGCCCAAAGGTGCCTGTAGGACCGTCCCCAACTGTCTTCGGTTCCACCACAAGTCCCAAAAGCATGTACGAGTGAGGGTGATGAAAAGTGAAGTCAAAAATGTAAGAGAGAAACTGTAAGAAAGTATTAAGAAGAGAAGCTGTTTTCGAGTAGTGACTGTTCCTAGAAAACCGGTCTAGCGATGAAACAATGCCGAGCATATGTTCATGCTTAAGATCGTCATAGGTATGGTACGCAAAGATCCAGAGAGAGATTGGGCACTGGTTTTCTCTGGAAAAAATTTTCCCAGTTCTCGAAACCGGATTATCTGTCTGGCTAGTCTGGCTAGTGACTTTCCAGTAACTCTCAGGTGGAAAGTAATTCTGGTATACTGATGGGCGAGCAGTGATCATAGCAATTAGGATTTCTTTTCAGTGGCTTCCAATTGAAGAGAAAAAGCATTGGGAGGTCCATCTGGGAAGCATCGGCGTGTATTCCCAACTGTATAATTCGAAAGACTATCCCACCATGCCCAAGTACGGTAGCAGTAGAATTCCTGCAAAGGGACTGGAATAGTAGAGTCCATCGGAACCATCAAAGAGAAAGTAATAAATGTGGTAGGCGACTGCTGTCGATCTCTCATGGTATCTCAGAAATCGTCCACGATTAGAATCAAACAAGGTCACGCAGTACACGACTGTTTATGAGGGGCTTGTTCCAGCACTTCCGTTCTCGGAAAGTCCCGCCTATGACATCTACTGAATCATAAGCATATACGGGAGGATCGTACCTGCGAGAATCACGAAAGTTCTGCGAAGTGCGAAGCGTAAAGGAAAAAGACGCTGTCCCTGCACAATGACAGTTGGTATTTCAACATGAAGAGTTGCACTACTAAGCATTGATGATGTGAGACGAGATGTTAAGACGATTAAAATTCCCATTCCAAAACTAGGCGGCCAGGGTGGCCAAAAAATCGATCAGGACTATCTTGAACACTGAGAAAATGCATGGCGCACACTCCGGAAGCTGTCATCAATTCTACAACTATCACCATGATTGTAACTATTATTACCACTATTATTATTATTACTATGGGAAGAATATGGGTGGAGGTGGTGTTGCGGCAAGTGGCGCACTTCACACACACGCATGGTCACGGGTTCGAATCCCGGTTCGATAACCGCCTGAGCTAAGCCCTCCCTCCGGAGTCGATTAATTGGTACCAGATTTATCTTCGAGGATTAAAGCACTACTTTGTATACAACTAGCCGTCGCCTTGTGGAGGCCACATAGTTCGCATTTGTTATGCCCCTAGCAAAAAGAATTAATGCTAGAAAATTCTTCAAATTTAATGGTCCTCCTTAGCACGTCGCTGAAAGCAACAGTGGGCGGCTCTGCTACCCAGTGTGGGTGGTCCTGCCACCAAAAGTCCGTGTTTCGAAACTAGGACAAGCGTTGATCTTTGGCAACGCCCAGGCAGAAGGTGATAATTGTCATAATTTACAGAAGGAATAAAATCATGGATTATATAATAAATGTCTAAAAAAGTACATTGTAATGGACGATTCACAATTCAAACCATAGACCACGAAAGGCAGTATCTGCGCGATAATAAAAGGTTTGAGAGGACAATAAAGAGCATAAGAAACGATTCGCTGAATAAACTGTATGGACCGAAACACGTTGTTATCCCTATGCATAGATGGTGTGTTCCGACGATGCTGATCTTGCGCGATATAAGGGAGTCTTGCATTCGGCGCTAAACGAGAATCTCTTTCATAAGTCAACATAAGTTCTATTTCGTTTTAGGACCTAACTTGGACTGGAAGGCTCTTTGGTACAACAATATTAAATGCTGATGCCTAAGGAATACAAAAAGCAGCATAATTCCTAGTGATCTCTAACAAAGCGGTTCTCCAGAAAAGTAGTAACAGTACGACCCAGAAATCGGAAGATGCTCCGGCAGAGGTCTACTAATTGCATTTTGGGAAATGATTTGTAACAGAAAGTGGGTAAGGAAGTTCCCCGCTCAAGTTCTGTCCAGGCTATCATACAAGGAAATGCAAAACTTCCTACACATTCACTCAACTCACTACGTTGATTTTTTTATTGGTTGGTGACACCGGAAGATATTGATTTCGCGCGCGTAAAATCGATATACTTTTTCGCCGAGTGTTTGGATCAAGAAGAGCAGACAGTACTAAAGGGTAGGACTGACCAGTATTGAAATTGATAATATTGGATTCCTAATCTTATGTTCCTGAAGAATAACCTCCAAGTTCAAGATGGTCTAGGTTGGTGTAGGTTCGGGATTAATTGCTGAACCGTTCATCTAGTAAAACGTTACATACCCATCCTACACAACCGAAAAAAGACTGCCATTCACCTAAACACCTTTGGGAAGCGGGATGTGCGATTGCGGATATGGTCATATGCGGTTCTTATGGGGAACCGGTCGTTTCTCACGGCTATCTGGACGAGTTTTGATTTCTATCGCATTATGCCTCTGACACCTCCTGCCTGCCAACGCTTTCTCAGTTCCCTTACTAATTTGGAGCTTGAAGCCGTTCAAGGTTTCAGATGAGCACAATGGCTGTCCTAGGAATGATAGTATCTTGAACAGGCCTAGCCTCCTCCGAAATGCCAAAACGAATCAATTCGACTTGAGGACCAAATTAGCTTTTTTCACGACGTTGAAACAGCCATAGCGACACTTTTATATGAAAAATCAACAGAGGCTGTTAAATTGAAGAACTAAACTTCTGGAAGAATCTGGGGGGAAAATGCGGGTGGAGAGCCACCCCTCCTCTTGACTCTAAGCACCAGGGAATGAGGGATAGCCACCTCTGCGGGACTACACCGATGCTTTTGAAGCAAGAAAGTAGTATGTGTCACGCTACCGCTGACACTTTCGAAAAAAAAAATGAATCAGGTCAACTGAATGCTCAATTCTTGCCCCATACCACTTTTTTGCACGAGGTAAACGGTCTTACCCACCATGCCGCTCCTCTCCTCCTGCAGAGCCGACTACACCTCTGCGCTTGAGCGCCTACATTTGAAAAATAGTGGTGCCCCTCCCCCTGGATCTACATGTTCACCAATTTGGGTGTTTCGTCCGGAGGTTCAGAAAAGGGAACAGCAGTGAATACAGGAACGAGTATTCGGTCCTTACAGTAACCCCTGGCTACCACACCGATCGGATTCCGATTGATGTTGAGCTTTTCGAAACAAGAAATCGGTTGGCACATCCTGTCTACTGTCCCCTCCAGCCTGAATGACACCCAGCTCTAGTAGCTCACTCAGGCTTCTAGAAAAATACAAGTGAGTATACGTATCCTTCCCAAGCACAGTATCCACGTCGTGGACAACCAATTTTGACGTCATTTAGGTATGCTCTCCGTAATTACACGCAGTAAATTTCTGCGACGTCTAGTGCTGATTTCAAATTACTGCTTGCAACATATTAATTTAAGTAAAGATTATTTGTGCCTGTTGGTAGTCCTGCAAAGGCTATTTGTTTTGTCCAACTATGGAACCAATATTGTTGGGAGTTGCTGAGAAACATTTCATTGCTCAGGGATTCGCTGATGGATGTCGTGACGATGGTCGAGGGTGAGTTTTGAATTTTTGAATATGTGATCAGATACATTATTTCTGATATGATTGGGCTGTTTTTATTTACTATTTACTTTCTTGAGCTCGTACATCGAGTAAGCTCTTGAAATGGTTCAAATCAAGTAAGACAACTATATTTTCTCGGTATTAGAGTCATACTTTCGCATTCACGTGTCTATTTTTACTTCAATAAAACTTTTAAAAACTACATAAATAATAATGTCCTCATAAAGCATAGCGTTTCATCCTGGTCTTCATGCAAATAGCCATTTTAGTTTTTTCATACTCTTTAACTACTTACTACTTTTTTTAATTTTAAACTTATTCCTATCACACCCAGGTAGTGTTTGTCATTGACAAAAACAAAATGGTTTTCAATTGGTTTGAAATGCTGCTTTACTTGAGTAAGATACCTTAATTCAAATAGATTTTGAAGAGTTGATGATTTCCGTCCGATGTGGATCGAAAGCCCGGCCTTGAATACAACAAATGGCTCAGCGAGGGTAAAGATCGATACTACGGATATATTGGTGAGTTGGGTCAACAGGTTTTGGTCCTCTTTTACTGGCTTTCTTCTTTTCTTAGCGGTTCACTGTTGGTTTTGCTCGATATTACTATTTATTTTACGGTGAGGTGTATTACAAGGTACGAAAGTGTCCTAGGTAGGTGTGAAATGCGAAGTTATGGAATGCTCGGACACATCAGCGGTCCCAAATCGTTTGCAATTCACGGTTGATCCTTCTTGTTTGGCCGCTGCACGAATTGAAGGTGGGCTCTATTCATCTCAGTCGAAACTTTCTTGTAACTTTTCTGAAGATATTAGCTTTAGCAAGAGGTGGAGAATATTTTACCGAAGCTGTTGCCGATGTGTTAGAAGAGGCTTACCATGGAAGCGGCGATGTTATCACCAATATGGACAGGTGCCTGAAGAAGTTTTTCTAATATTTTTGCATTTCTGATTGACAGCTTTTCTTCAGACTCATTCTTTCAAAACAGTTTATGTGGAAAGTATATGTGGATGTCGTTATACAACAGTATGGTGGGAACATTGTTGATGCTATTTTTATTGCTGTAAGTATTTCCCTCTGCAGTAGCTGCTATTCGTTGATAGTTCCTCCATAGTAATGTTTCAGTATTCAGTATATCGTTCTTAAGGTTAAAGCTGCTTTGATTGATACCAGGATTACTAACCTAACATTGGTTCCTCAAGATGAAGGCAAGTTCAATATAGAGTGTGATGAGTCTACGGAAACGAATTTCTTTCAATTGGAGGCAGCTAAGTAAGTTTTTCCATCGTTTCGATTGTTTTTGTACTTTACGCACTGTTCTATTTCTATTTTACCCTTTACCATCCCCTTTTAATAGCGTTTCCCACGCCAAGAAAATTTTTTGACCAAACTTGGTTGAAATCTTTGAATTATTCAGAATGTTTATTTAGAAGTTTGGTGTTTGAATGCGGGATTGGCAGGTGATTGCAAAAGTAGCGTAAAACGTGTGTGTTGATGAACAACCACGATGCTCTTTGTCTGTAGAGCCTCGTTAGCTCAGTTGGTAGAGCGTTAGACTTTTAATCTAACGGTCAGGGGTTCGAGTCCCCTACGGGGCTTAACTTTTGCATTTCTTCTACTGTTCTTAAATTATCAGGTCCATCGCTTTACTGATAGTTTATACTTTTTTATTCAATTTTATTTGATTCTATGGTGTATTAGTTAATTCTTTTTGCTTTTTCCTCAATTTTTATTTCCAGTTGCCTTTTAGTCTCATTTCCTTTTCAGTGCTCCTCTTTGTGTTACTGTTAATCAAATTGGAAAGTCTATAGCTGTAGATTGTACGGAAGTCGAAGAAGCGCTGTTAAGGACGTCCCTTTGGATTGTAATGGACCCGCCGGAAAATGATGTGGGCCATTTTGCTCTAACCTTCTCTCAACCCGCAATAATTTCAGCTTCTATTCTCAGCCCATGGCTTCAAATATTAGTTGATTCATTAACGTGATTGTTAAGTTCTTCCAGAGGGTCCCTGATGACCAGATACGATTACGATTAGTGAAGCAGATGGATCCTGGTGGTATGGATCCACGTTCAGTTCCGGCTATGGTCGATTTAGCAATACGAACGGGGAGGAATCTACACTCGTCGGTGAACACTCGGCTAGAAGAAATACGAAATGATGCTGGTTCGCATATCCCTGGATCTTCGTTCCTTTTTGAGTAGAATTACCTCTTTTTTCAATAATTTATATGATATCCTTGCTATGTACACTGCCGTTTTGATTGATTCGGTCTCACTTGTTATGTTCCTATGGTTGTTGAGTTTTTTTTTTGATAGTTTATTTGTTTCTTTTTCACTGCAAGCTACCATATGCTCACGTTATGAATAAACCGGGAACCTCATGTTTTTTTTTCGTCGAGAGCAGTAGCCGTTTGTAAGGCGTAGGTAGGTAGGTGGGCATTGCTGTCTTTGCTTACTTGAGCTATCCTTATCACCTCTCCATCACATCACGTGGAATAACCTCTTTTTACCAATCGGAGCCCTTCATTCAGGGCTTCTAGGTAGAGACAGCCTTTCAACTTAGGGTCTTAAAGCTTCCACACGCAATACCAGCTGCCCTCGATAGTAAAGAGTCAATTTGTTTGTGAACATAGTCAGAGAAAACCGTTTTATTGCGATTTTTCAGTTCCTCAAGTATCTCATATGGACCGTTAAGATTCAAGCACGTAATAAGATAGAACTCGATATGTTATATTCTATTTCACGTATGATACTTAGTGGATACAGTAGGCTGCCTGTTAATAAAAGTATTTGTAGTCAACATTGAAATAGACGGATGGCGTGTATTCTTCATCTTTTGCTTTTGCCTTCTGCTCTTCTTTGGGTTCTTTACCCTTGCTTTCATCTACGTCTTAAAAAAAAGCTTTAGGACCCAAAATTGCTTGAAATCTCTCTTAGGATTATGCAATTGCAGACTTCCAAAGACTTCCAAAAGTACAAACTTGAAGATTTCGAAATTTGCAGAGAATGTACTGAGTTTAGAAACTTGTGAATTTCTACAATTTCCTAACCTTATGGTTTCTAAACTTTCTTTATTTTTTGAATTTTTTCAATGAGTTATCGCTTTTTAACAGTAAAAGAAAATTATCAAAATGAGTTTCCATGTTAGCAATAAACAGAGCTAATAATCGAAATATGAAACGTGGGAAAAAAGTTCTCAAAATCGATTTTTTTTGCACCTTTCATTTTTTCATTTCTGCTTTTTTTCTAACCATTAATATTTTCGTTATTAATTTATTGTTTACTTTCGAAACTCCCATTAATTTTCCTTATTTCTTTATTTTATTCCTACTCTGTCTTTTACATCGCCTCTATCACCTGTCATCCCGTTCTTCATAGACTTCCTCAAGTGTGAACCAGTAACATCTCCATTCGTCCCCGTCACGAGTCAGAGAAGTTCAGTGGACCATCGTCGCTTGAGTGACACGAGGAACAGCGTATCTTTTGTTTAGAGTTTTCGCGAGGAAGACTGACTATCGCGCTGCCGGTTTCGTTTGAGGCCCCCAGAGGTCCATTCAGTTACCACCTCGGTCCAAGGAGCTATCGCATAACGTATCCGGCCCATCTAATCTTCGATAATTTAGCGTAAGCATGGGGGATCATGGGGTCCCTGATATTCGTTCTTTGAGGGGCTTGAAACTCTGGATTCCCTACAGCACTTGCCTATATAGGGAAATTCCGACCATCGTTCTTTTCGCTGAGCGTTGAATGACGCTGGCTGCATATCCATCCTGTTTTCGTAGAATCGAAGCCTCCGAGGTGTACGTCAAAGCAGGGGGTAGTTGATAAAAAAAAGATACCTCAATTGCTTGGGTACTCACCCTTTCGTCGTTTTCTTCTCATCAAATTGTCATAATCGTTAATAAATTTCAAGACATCAAGTCGTTTAATGACACCTCTATCGATCAGATACTCAACGAAACCACGATATACGTAGAGATATTGCTGATAGTATCAAATTAAGCTCTGCCGATGGAATTAGATGTTCACTATAAACTGTAACTACCATGTCATTTTGGATACTGTGCATACGTTGATCCCGTATAGCTTTCAAAACCATTTCCATACTAAAAGATGATGTAGTTGCTGCTATGTGTGCCGCCATTTCAATTGCCACGAAACAACCAGATCGTCCAACTCCTGAACATGAAGATTGGAAAGTTTACCCGGAGCAGCACATTCTTCAGAGAGATCACCTGCTGAACAGTGCACTATAACTGGAGCGTTTTGTCGTTTTTTCCGTGCTAACCGTATCAATTCAACAGTCGCTTTAAAATTTTCCGGTGCAGTGTGGTCGGCCCAGTTTTCGTACCATATATGTTCTACCTGAAACGATGGGTTTACACCACATTTTTCAGACAGTTGAGTTGTTCTAATAGAACATTAAAAAACGTCGGCGTAGGGTGAGAAGGTTAAGAGGCTGAGTTGCTTGTCCAGGATTTGGCTACCGATGCACTGGAGCAGTGGAAGATGGCCACTTCCGGCGGACAATGATGGTGTTCACGAACTTTATATTTTAGTGGCCCGTTTTTCGTGACCATAGGTTCCCGTGCTAATTCATTTTTGGAGGCTGGGATTAGTTATTCTCCCAGATGGGCTTTATAATTTTCCACTTCTTATTGTATACCTATGTTTTCTGAGTAAACAAACCGTATGTGTTCTTCCTTCAAAAGACACATCTAATCTCCCACATGTTGCACCGTCAGCATCTGATATAACATTCCTATCAAAGGCGATAATCTTGTAGGATCCAACTATTGATGTACCTGAAATGGAATATGAAATAGCAAATGTTCTAGGTCAGTGAGAAAAATGGAGGTAGGAAATATCATAAGGTGTCGTAAATTTTCACCTCCATTCCTCGGAAAGTACTCGACACATTTTTCTTTTCCATCTTCGACGAGTTTGCATAGCATAACAATTAGCTGTTTTGAAATATGAGATATTCTGATTGTTGGAGATCACTCCTGGTATGCACTCAACAACTTACCTTTACTTTTTCCTGGATTACCATAGCCCAGAAGCTCTCTTTAGAACTGTTTAATGGTCCTTGTGTACAAATAAACATATTATTGCCTACCATCACTCTGCTGGCATGGATATAATCGCTACCTAAAAACAGAAACAGAGTACGGTAGCGAAAGTTTCGAACGGAAACTTCGATTATTAAGTTTTGGGAATAATTGTGACGATCCTTCACGTTGAGGGAGGGTAGACGACGAGGTGGACAAAACATCATGGAAAGGATCTACAACGGTGAGCACCTCCTTTTTGTTGTGGTACAGTAGCTCATTCTCCTCTACAGTGTCAGAATTCTATTATTTTCCTTTTTGCTGTCAAGTAGCTCTTTCTATCAGCACATAGCTATCACAGTATGACCCTGGGGTAACTGCGATGCAGATTACTTGACGGCCAATTTAGACTTATATGTTTCTGTTCAGACTTTTGCATTTCAAATAGGAGTTACCCGCTAGTTCTCACCTCTGTTTTTCAATATAACTCTGGTTTTATCCAGTAATTCAATCTCATTATAACGGTTATACATCTCATTTTCTTTAAACGCTTTCCTTGAGCCTTCAGGGTTATATTTCTTTAATCTCCTGAAAAATTAATGTTCGTAAATCCACGTTTCAAAACGTACACCGTTCCGGTTTTTCCTGGTTCATTAGCTACATGGCGATCTCGAGCATAAGCGGAAGAAGTTGTTCTACGATCTATTGGAAAATTGTTTCAAGTGGCTTTCTTGTTCCAGGTCGGAAGTGACAGAAGATGAGTTTCAGTGTTTTGGCCATAGCTACGGTGATGCTGAACCACGATGAGGTCATGGCTCTTGGAGAGCAAACAGAGTCCATCTCTCCCCTGTGGGGTATTTTACAGCAATTTTGGCCTCTATCCACATGACATTTACCTAGCTCAATACATGTCGTTAGTTAATGGAAAGAATCATACATGAATTCTTCTTTAATCGTCTTCAATGCTCCACTCTTTTTCAGTCTCATCACTAGCGACTGCACGGATTTGGCTATTGCGGCTGGATCTTTCTCGTCCTGAAACAGCCATTACAACTGTGCAATGAAAAACGTTCTCAGTGGCAATTGCATGTTATCGAAGGAGCGACTAGCTACTTCAGGTCATACAATTCAAGGGAAGAAATAATAGTACTGAATGTCCATTGTCAAAGTTTTCTTTTTACCCCAGCGGGACGCAGAGTACACAGTATTCCTACGTTTGCAATATGATGCATTGTATGGCTATCGGAATAGAGGGGAGACGGGCAGTAGTAACGGTTCTGTGTAATCGATCCGCCGCACGCGGCTGTCGCGGACCATTTGCTTCATTATAGCAGTTCTAGCGTTCGACACCCAGTTCAATCGCTGTGCGACTATTACATTTGGCATGATTCCACTGTTAGTTCTTTTGTTCCTGTATTTCTTACTTGCTTTTACAGTCTGCAACATTCCTTCGCGCGCGGCGTCTCTCGCCGCAACACGACAATTTCGTTCCTACTGTACCACACCCCGAATAGAGGGCTCTTCGACACGACAGGAGGAGCTCTCAGCAATATTTGGCTGTTCAATGTGTACCTTTATCACCACTCTTCCCGTGTTTTCCGAAAGACAATCCCACCTGTTGAACATCAACATCAACAACAACATCCCTAACAGTAAGTTCATCCGTTTCTGGCATTCGATGTGTTCTAATAAGATACAAATAATTTCCGAAGAATATGCTGAACATTCTTCGAGAAGTTCAATACTTTTCGGGTAATCAACGGATCGAAATGAGACTATACGGATAATGTTGAAAATCATGCTGCACACTCACAAATTCCCATCTTGCTTCACTTGCGCTGACTTTGCCTGAAGAAGGGGCCTCTTTTCCACTCGTACCCTGAAAAAAGGAAAATAATCGGACAGAATACATGACGAAAGACAGAGCTTAGATGTCATTACATGGATAATAATTTGAGGGCAGAATTTCGGACTTCAATAGACCTAAAAATCGTTCCTATAGATTAGGCTGTCATGCTCTGTACCCCTTATATTACCGAGGCCTTCAGAATAAATAGCGCCGTTCAGATTTTTTACACCTGGCATGATTGATCGTTGTTGGTTACAAAATGGTGATTTGTGGTTTACGTCCACTCCATCCCCTACGATGATCGGTAGGAGCAAGCAGCATCATTCTGGGGTTTTGAGTGCTGATCTGTTTCTTCTAGTAGAAATCACATCGAACTTTCCTTACGGGACCAATTACTATTCTATTATGTTGTGATCTTTATGAAAAGTTGTCCCACCGTTTGTGTTTTGGACTTCCTGAGCTCACCAGTCTGAAACAATCATCTGAGTAAACATATTGGTGCCTCCCTAGGCCTATTCCACACTTTGATCGCAAATGTTACTAGCAGATATTGAGACTATGAATAAAAAAGATGCTTTCTTAAAATGCTTAGATTGAGGATGGTTAGAAAGTGTGTATGCAGTTCGAGTAAGTGACAATTGTCTAGGTTGTAAAGAAAAAAAANNAAAAAAAAACTCGCATTTTACTGTGTAGTTGGATAAGAACACGACGAGTACTGATTAGATTTCGCTCTTAAGCTCCAACAAATGGGTAAGGAGCTTGTTCAGCGACAATAAAACAACCCAAACTTCTCAGGTATACCCCAAGGCCTCTCTACAAGTATTGAGTATAGAGGGTGTTTAGCACTCAGCTGAACTGGGAAGTGTGTACTGCCTGATTCTATTCAACAATAACCCAGTTCGGGGTTACTACTTGAGTAACTTTAGATATGAATCATCTGCCAGTTTATTTGGCCTCTACTGGTGAGGCAAGCTTGGCATTGAATTCAATTATGCCATAAATCGATAGTACTCGCCATAGATTACGGTGACGAATTATATGTTGGGATTCATACTGTATAAGCGCCATCGCTAGTATCTTACCAATCTGTCCTTAATTGCTTTACTCTTGACCATTGCCACCTCATTTTGCGGTGGGTTACCCATATCACTACCTTTATCATAATCATGGAAGGTTTCGCGGAAAGACAGATCTAGAGACTAACATACAAGCGTACAAACCCGAAGATCGACAAGCAGACACACCCGTTTGGGGGAGCATTGCCATGACGGCGACAACTTTTACTGTCAGAGAAATTTGAACTGGACTTACCGTATCATCCGATGAAGAGGAGGTCTGCTGTTTAATCTAAAAAGTACATTGTGTATCCATGCATGCTCACCTTTCATATGTCTTTTAACTGTTGTAATTTGAAATAATTATACTGTGTAAAGGTTTTACGCGATGATCTCACTTATAAACACTTGTGAATATAATATTTATAGGTCTACTTGTGTATCTACTATTTAGATGAAAGTAGTACGCTCTCCCCCTCTGTGGAGTAAAGGAGATTGTGAAATTCATAAAATGAAGTTTAAAACAACCAACATCTTCAGCAGAAACTCGACCATATTTTCCTCCCTAAAATAACAACTCATGAATCCGCACTTGATTCGCCAGAGAGCTCTAGTAGAATCTCCTTAATCTCCCTGACCCCCCTCCACCTTTGCATGTTTGGGCAGCAGTTCCGATTAGTTTGGACAACCAGCGCTATTTAGACCGCCCCACTTCTAGGTGTACATTAAAATGATTATCGATTTTACGCGCGTTATTTATGTTCACTTTTGACGTGTTATTTATAGAAGGCGGTCTGGAGTGTTACAGATGGTTCCACGGAATTGCAGCGACTGGAGTGTAGGGAGGTGGTTTGCATTTATGAGGTCAAGCTGTCTGAGTCCTTACTATTCCATGCTACGGTCGGTGCTGATGAAACGATGGCAAAAAAATGGCAGTAAAGCTCCGTCAATATCAACGAAGTCATCCAGTCCAAGCAAGAACAAACATTCCAGGAATCTGTTCCGAGCAATTATCAGGACTGCCTATTTCTGCGATCAACGAGCTCATGAATTTTGCATAGTTTAGGGCTTTCATCCGAGTCTTCGAGGAGTTCTTAACCTATGGGAAACTGCGTGGTTGTTCTATGATAGCATAATTACTGGAATCAGCATCAGAAGACTGGAATAAGCCGCGTGTTCTTCCCAAAGGATATCGATTTTTGCGTATGGGTGATTAACAAACATTTCTTCATGTATGCTCTGGCGAAGCAGTCTCAAAAGTGTAAGCGGAAGGAAAGGTCGAACTTTTACCAGACAATGGCATCTAGGCATACTGGAGGTGGGGAAACTTCGTTCAAGGTACCGCCCAGAATCCATACCCTCAGGGAAGAAGTCGTTGCATTTGAGGACGGGAATATCCTGAGCACGGTTGTATATTATGAGATTGAAGCTAGAGGAACTTCGACCACTCCCTAACGGTTATGGTTAAGGAGCTGCTATCCTATGTAACTTTTGAAGCCTCCCAGCGAGAAGTATACAGGGGCAAACCGGTTTCCCGCAAACTTGCATTGCACTGAGCTTACTCTCCACAGAGAAAGGCCAACAAACGAGGGGTATGTCCAGGCAGTGGTCCAAAGTTTGGATGCCATACAGCAGAAGCTCTACCTCCACTACTGTACTATCCTTACAATACTTTGTGAGAAACAACGTACCCTCTTGGCGGATCTCAGCCGCTTTCCATCTGCCATTGAGACAAATTGATCAACTGAGTGAGATTACCTGTTTATATGTGTGCCTCTGTCAGACTGATAGGCACGATCACGTGAGTGGGAGCAGACGTTTGTGAAGTGTGTGCGGGATCTTGGGCAGCCCCTCGCGAGTCGGAACGAGCAGTATAAAGGCGAGATATGAATTCACAGTTAACGATCACGATAACTGCCACGCATGCGTGCGACCGAGAGAAATCGAGTGCAAATCGTTGATCCGCCACATCTGGGAGACTCGCTACTTTTTTTGCTGAGCTACTCTCATGAGCGAAATGAGGACTTCTCCAGTTAACCTTCCCACGACGATTGCGTAGACCCTGAAGAATACATCAGTTTTCATTTTGCGCCGATCCCCCTGCTAGTTGTCTCACTGTGCAGCATGCCAATGGGAACTTCGATCATCCCCTTACCAGTAGAGACGTACATTGGTGATGCATTTTTAGGACACCAACACTCTCAGCCAGGTTCGCTCAGTAATTCCAGAAGTCTTCCCAGTGGCTTCTGGGCAAGGGTACCCCAGAATACTTATTGGTAGTGTCTCTGACAATGGCGGTAATATCCTTACTATATATAAAACGCTCGCGTCTGTCTGTCTGTCTGTTTGTTTGTTTGCACGGAAATTCATAACTCCTGTCCCCGTGGACCTACAACGTTCAAATTTGGTAAGAGTACAGGAGGTAGGATGGGAACATTTACGGCGGGTGGAAGGACC